TCCACAACTTCTCTGTGCAACCTGTTCCAGCAAAAGAGGTTTTTTTCTTATATTTATGTGGGATTTCCTGTGTTTCAATTTATGCCCATTGCCACTCGCCCTGTCACTGGGCACGGCTGTGAAGAGACTGGTTTGTCTTCTTTCTTCACTGCTGTCTTTCAGATCGAATTTTGAGTATGTCCAAGGCAGGAGACTCCACAACTTCTCTCTGCAATCTGTTCCAGTAAAAAGAGGTTTTTTTCTTATATTTAAGGGGGATTTCCTGTGTTTCAGTTTATGCCCATGTGTGGGACTCGCTCCAGTAGCTCCATGTCCTGTTCTGGGGAGCCTTGGTATGGACCCAGCGCTGCAGATGTGGCCTCCTGAGCAGAGGAGGGATGGCCTCCGTCCCCCCGCTAGCTGAGCGCTTCCTAATCCCATGCTGCTGGGTCATGTCCAGTGTGTTGCCCACTGGGACACCCAGCTCCTTCTCTGCACAGCTCTTCTCGTGCTGGTCGTCCCCCCAGGACATAATGGGGCTTGGGGTTATTCCTCCCTAAGAGCAGGACTTTGCACTTCCCCTTGCCGAACCTCCTGAGACTCCTGCCAGCCCATTTCTGCAGCCCATCTGGATGCCTCCGAATGGCAGGGAAACACTCTCAAGTTTACCAGCCCCTCCTGCCAGCTGGTGTCACGTGCACTCTGTCCCTTCATCCAGGGCAGTAACGAAGATATTAAGGCAACATCGGCCCAGTGCTGGCCTGTGGAAATACATCCCTAGCGACTGGCCTCCAGCTCGGCTTTGTATCACTTCTCCCATCCTTTGAGCCCAATAGTTGAACTAGTTTTCAGTCCATGTCACTGTGCATTTATCTAGTCCACATTTCATTGACTTGTCTGTGAAGATGTGATGGGAGACAGTGCTGAAAGCCTTGCTAAAATCAAGATGAAAAAGACAATACACAAGTGGCTTTAACTATCAGTCTTAATCACTAAATAGAAATTAAGGCTTCTTGGGTAGATTTCATGCAAATTTTGTGCAAAATAGGGAAGAAAACCCAGCAAACTCCAAACCCAACCTGATAAAGGGAAAAATATAAATAAGTAAATAAGTTTGTGCATCTTCTGGCCTTTTACCTCAGCTAGTCTGAACTGTTTAAACAGAGAAAAAAACTAATTATTATCTTTTGATTTATTGCAGACTCGATTCCTGCGGTTTTGAACACGTTTTTGTTGGAGAAACAAAGCGTGATAAACAGATCTTAGGTTTGCACAACTGGGTGCAATTTTACCTTCAGGAAAAGCGTAACCAAATTGATTACAAGGGATATGTGGCCCGGAAGAATAAAAGCAGGGTAAGGATGAGTTGGGTGCCTTTACAGGTGAGATAAATAGATCCACAGAGAACGGCTGTGGTAACAAATCAAGACACCGTGATGTAGAGCCAGGGTTGTTTTTTCCCTCTTATTCTCCTCATTCTTAACTCCCTGTAGGAATCCTAAGTGTCCTCAGACACTGACTTTTCCCACTCATCCTCTGCCCACTGTCATTTGTGGCTGCTGCACATACAGCAGCTGTCTAGAGTTCTGGACTCCCTCAAGACATCCAGAGGCTAAAAAGCTTGTAGCAAAACTAGCCCCTCAAACACATAGTTCCTTTGCAGTTCCCTTGTCTTCAGTGAAGCTGGAGAGAAACCTGCTAGTCTAGATGCCTTCTAAGGCTCATTGCAGTAAGTTCCAGAAAGACTCATGCTGGGAATTACTAAGGCCAGGCTAGAAAAGGTGCACTGCTGGAGAGGCAAGTTATTATGAGGTTCACACAACATGCAGCATCGGATTCTTATTGCTGGGAGCTCACCCTGCGGAAGCTGAAGCTATTGAGAAGACTTCTTCAGCTTCAGTGATGTTTGAACTAGACCTATTCTGTGCCGCTGCTTCCTTCGTCCAACCCAAGGCCTGTAAGTCTCAGCTCTGAAAATTAAGAGGCACTGACAGCTTGGAGTCAGAGTGCCACAAAGTGAAGCTTAAAAGCTATTTTAGGATATTGCATTCAAGCTTATGAGGTAAAGTAGAAAGCTTTGTCTAGATCTACTGCTTGCTCTGAGGTGAGTGAGGAGAACACAGGTGCATCTTGAGGGCTTCAGTCCTCTTTCACAGAGTCTTAAGGATCTTTCCAGCACCCATTGAGAGCATGCGATGATAAAAGTATGTCTGGTGAGCTTTCCAGATGTATTTTTTTCTAGTTAGAAAATCCTTTTGTGCACGATCAGGTGGTGTTGGCCCCAGGGGTGTACAAGCATAGGAAATAGCAGCACTCCCTTGAGCCCAGCTCCTTTTGCGCAGAAGGTATTTCTAACAGCAGTGCTGGTGCTTAGGGAATAGCAGCATTGCTGAAGCTTGAAGGATCCAAATGAACACGGTGGATGCTCCAGAGGATAAGGAGGAGCTCTGCTCCAGCTATGGGACCCTGGCATAGCAGGGATGTGACAGGGTGAGGATGTGACATGTGCCTCTCCAGGTTTTGTCCTTGAATCTCTCTCCAGAGCACAGGTATTGGCCTTCGTAGTCACAGATCACCTGCAACAGGGGCCGGTTCACGGGGCAATGGGCTAGAGAGAGACCCAGACTGGGGCGGGCAGAGGGGCTATGTGGGTTGTCTGTCACAGTTACTTCCCAGTGAGTGTCACCATGAGCTGGGAGACTAAGTCATTTCCTTCCCTTTACTTTAGGTGGGAAAGATAAAACAATTCTCAAGGCCTGGAACCGTAAACATGAACCACTCATATCCAGCAAAATTTAAAAGGAGTCTGAACTGTGGGCTCACATCTAGAACAGATATCCTTTCTGTTACATCCCTCATTCTCAGTGCTCACTCCTGACCCAAACCCCTGGATGGTAGAGTGGCTGAATCCTGTGATTTCTTCTAAAATCCAGAAACTAAAATTGCAGCTGTCTGGCCACCACCCTGTTGGAGATTATCTCCGTGTTTGTTTCTGCTTTCAGCCTGACGAGGACGACCAAGTTCTGAGCCTCCAGTTCGCTTGGAAGGGCTTGGTGAAGCCCATTGGAAGCATCTTCATTGGCGTCAGCCCTGAGTTCGAATTTGCCCTTTACACCATCGTTTTTCTGCTGTCTGAAAAAAGTGTCACACATGAAACAGTGAAGATAGAGGAGTATGAGCTACAGATAGTGGTTTGCCGCCACGGGCAGCACATTGGAACGGCCTATCCCGTGCTGCTGGGCACCAGCAGTGAGGGCTCACACTGACAGTGATCGGGAAACATCTCCGGCGGGGAAGGAAGGAGGAGTGTACTAACCATTTATTTGTAGTAACACTTTAAAAATCATTTGGTTTTCTCCTGCAATAAAGTGTTCAATGAAGAGTGTGCCGTGGGTCTGTGCAGGACCACCTTGAAATATGCTTTCCTCATATTTAAGGCTTGATTAAATTTGTATCAGCTTTCCTTCATGTATCATAATGCTATCCTTCTTCAGCAGATAATGGATTTTCTAAAAGGCCCTACTAAAATGAATATACACACCTTTTTTATTTGATTTGGCACGAGAGGTTTTTTTTTTCCCTCCTCATTTCATAAGTTTCAAACATTTTTACAACTGCAGTGCCCTAGACATGCAGTAAAAACACTCAGATATGATGATGATGATGAAGATCAACCACAAGTCTATCACTGTGTGGGCTCTGTGCAGGTCTTGCCTATTTGTGGAAGCCATGGGTGGCTTTTTCTCACCTATCTTTACAAGTCTGTAGTATAGACACCTATGTGCTCATTACAGTCAGTGTCCTTCCTCTGATGGCAGCACGCCTGCCCCTGTTCTCCCAAAACATATTCCATAACCCAGTAAAAGGAACTTAATTTTTTTCCTTCTGATGCCCACTCAGAGACAGGCAAATGCTGCAACTCCCTGAGACTGTGACAAGGACCAGTGATTCACAGGATACAGCAGTTTCTTCAACAAATCAAAGATGAAGATTTGCTAACAGGATATCATTTCCAAAGTACTGCACATAATTTTCATCAACTTGCACATCAAGTTAAGAGCTCTATTAACATAATCACTAATGGTAATACGCAAAGGAAAAGGGGAAAAAAAAGACAAATAAGTAAAGCTTATAGATACACATTATTACATAAGGTAAAGACCCACATAAAAATGGCAGCAAGTCTCTCTCGTTAAAACAGACTTTCGTGAAGCTAAACCAGCATCACCACTTTCTAGACTCCTGTTTTTCAAAGTGCAACAGCAGATACTCATAAGAAGCCTCTGCTAGCAAAAACATGCACTGCAGAACGCTACTGCTATGAGACGTTATCAGATCATAGTGACAGGTCAAGTAGGAAGGACAAATGATAAGAAATAAAGCATACAAATTCTCCAAGGGCACACAGCTGGTGATGGCGGAGAATAAAATGTTTCATTTTCACCTTATATTGACAGCAGAGTTGTTTTTACATAGCTACATTAGAACTGTATAATTCTGCCATTATGTCTTCTACAGAAGGGCTTAAACCTCAAGGCCTAAACATTAACATAACCAGTATAAGCAGGCGACTTTAAGCCAGCGGGCATCTTCTGTTTACAGGGAAATTGTGTAGGCTGCAGAAGTGCGAATATTCTTTGCACAGTAGAATATAATCAAAGGATGTGAATAAGAAGCTTCCTTTTTTTCTCCTGTGGTTTAATTGCTACCGCTTATGCCCAGGCAATTAGCACGTTTAATAAATAAAGCTAGATAGAACTGCACACATGCAGAAAATTACAGGGAAGAAGGTGCAAGGAGATTATCCAGCCACTAGCAAGGACATCTACTAAGCAAAAAGGGAGAGAAGGGAGGAGGGCAAGCAACAAACCAGCTCTTGGACCATGGGGAGGAGAAGCTGAGCAGAAAGCTGCAAAGACTATGGAAAACAGAAATAAGAGTCATTTTAGAATTTAAATATTTTATTAATTCACAGCGATTATGAATAGGAGGATCCTTGGGAAAACTGGAGATTGGATCATGTGCTCCCACAGGGTAGGAAGAGGCACTACAGCCACTAACAGCATTGCAGGAAACATATCCCAGGTAGGGGAAGGAAATTCTCCCTCCCGTCTTACAAGCTGCCCAAGCTGAGGCTGTTGAGCTGGACAAGATGCTCTGGAAGATGCTTTTCATAGGCAACATTTTCAAGCAACACCCATGCCCTCTTGTGGCCATTTCGAGCATCAGCAGCCCTCCAGCTCCCTGCATTAAAAAAAAAAAAAAAAAAAAAAAACCCTTTATACAGTATTCTTGAAAGACAAAGCAATGCTGTAATCCAGGACACAGTTTTGTGAGGTCCAGCTGTCCATGTCCCAGTTGCGGAGCCATTTATGTTGCTATCTTTGGAATTAAATCCTATAAAAAGCAGCTTGATAGACATTTAAAGCAGTACTAGCAGCTAAATGTGCCTGTGCAGTGGAAGCTGGAGAGATACCACCTTAGCTCTTTCTGTATTAAGGTCTGTGACTTAGGTATGGGAAAGACTATTAGCCATCTAGAAAGAAATTATGACTGTTTTTTGTTTGTTTGGTTGGTTGTTTGTTTCATACAGAGGATAGTTTAGAAGGAAAGGATTGTCCAGATAAGACCTTGTATGGAGAAATGAGGAGCTTTTGCAGGTAACAAGTAGCTGAAAGAAGAACGAAAGGTGTTTGTAACCCACCTGGCTGGCACTAACTAAGTCAAAGGCAGGAATGAGACGAGTGCTGAAGTTGTTGCTAGCCTTTCTGATGTGACATCAGCACATCACAAACATCCAAATCTAGCAGTGCAGGCCAAGAGAAAATATAATGCGATTCTTTAATTTTAGTCACTTAAATTGAGTCCATTAAACTATTGGAAAGGAAAGTTTGTGGTGGTGGATCAAGTTAAAGCACATCAACATGGGTTGGACCAGCCTTGGAAGAAGTGATTTCACCAGTAAAAGTTTTAGGAGAATAAATCAAGTACTTTTGGCCTTAGTGGTCCTGTCAAGTAAGTATGTGGGAATATAAATAGAAAAAGATCCATGGGATGTGTCTAAATTTGCTACAAGTGCAGAAATAAAAATTGAAGTAAAAAAGTCCAGCAAACTGCTAGCACCTACAGTCTTGAACAATGTCACTGATCAAGAGCAGTGCTGGGAGAAGCATTTTCAGGGCCCAGTAAAAAATGGTTAAGGCAGGAAATCGAGCAAAGGCAGCAGGAAACTTGTCTGGAAGAACAGTGTCCCTGCCTACACTCAAACATAAAAAGAAAGTGCAGAAGAGGCAGCGGCAGATGAGCCAGGAAGAACATAGAGACACTATTCAAACGCACAGGGATGGGGTGGTGAAAGATAGAATCCATCTGGAATTGAATCTGGCAAGCGATGTGAAGGCCAAAATGAAAGGCTTCTGCAAGCACTTAAGCAGAAAAAGAAAAGCTAGGAAAGACGTGGCCCTGCTGCTGAATGAGATGAGGGACCTGGTGATGAAGGCCATGGAAAAGACAGAAGTACTGTTTTCTCTGTGTCAGTCTGGTAACATTCTGGATATATGAAGGACAGTCATGCTCAGCAGTAGTCAGCTTGGATCACGCTTAGCCGACCTCGTAGCCTATGGTGGGACTACAGACTTGGTGGATGAGGGCAGTGGATGCCATTTATCTCGACTTTAGCAAGACTTTTGACAGTCTCCCGTAATACCCTCACAGACAAGCTGGTGAGGTATGGGCCGGGTAAATGGTCAGTGAGATGAACTGAAAATGGGCTGAACTGTCCAGCGCAGAGGGTTGTGATTAACAGCATGAAGCTCAGCTGGAGACTAGTCACTAGTGGCGTTCCCCAAGGATTAACACAGCATTCAAAATGGTCTAACATCTTCATTAATGACCTGGATGAAGGGACCGAGGGCATCCTCTGCAAGCTTGGGAGGGGTGGCTGAAGTTGTGGAGTCTCTGTCCTCTGACATATTCAGAGTCTGACTGGACACAGGCCTGAGCAACCTGCTTTAGATGATCCTGCATGAGCAGGGGTGCTGGACACGACGATCACCAGAGGTCTTTCCATCTCAGCTACTCTGTGGCTCTGTGGTTGATGTTCACAAGCCTCTGGAACTCATAAACAGATTGGGGGGGAGAAATTATATGACAATTTTTATAGCCGTTAATCCCCAAATCATTGTAGGGAATGTTATCACAGATCTGATCATTTCTTACATAAATTACATAGGAAAAAAGTGTTTAAAATGCCTCCTATGTGGAAAAGAGAGAATTGATAAGGCACACAAGTAATGCCCACAAGCAGAAAAAGATAAAACCAGTTATGGCAAGAACACTTTAGATTCAGTCCCCCTAAATAAATAAACAATAGTTTCAGGTTAGTGAAAACAGTCAGTAATGCTATTTTAGTTAGAGTAGGGAATCTGTTGAATGAATTGAGGTAGAGCTATAACATCTCACAAAAAACAGGCTTCAATGCAGAACTTCAATTCACAACTTTGCTTCAGTCAAGCACTATGGCACTTGCCTAAGAGCTTTGTGGAATACAAGAAGAGAGATGCTGTTATTTTCTCATACAGTACCACTTTGATAGTATTAACTTGGACCCAGCAAAAATGGTATTTGAGAACTGTGGTATAGGAATTTATGACAGAATTTCACCCGCAGAATGAAAAAATAGCTAAAGATAGTGACAAAAAGCTGACAAACAGTTGCAGAGTTACCAGCTTTACAGTGTCGGAAAACCAAGTCCAAATGAAAATGACAACTGTTTACGGAGAACTGTGCAAGTCACAAATTTATTCTGTTGTTGGCCCATGGCACTTCAGTTAATAAATCTGTATTAGTGTCACATGGCACTTGTATGGTAATGGTTATATTAGTCTGACTTGAGTAGTAGCAGGATATTTCCAGATGTGGAAAACTTGACGGTCTGTTTCTAATCCTGCTGGTGGCTGCTAGGCCCTAATATTGAATAGAACAGTGGCTTGACAGCAAAAGATATCCAGCCATCAAGGAGAAGCCTGTAAACCAGAGCCCCGTGTTGTACAGTTCAGCTATCTGGGAAGCAAAGGCCAGCTTTGGGATGCATGGATGTGTGACCTTGTCTCAGCTTTAATGAGAAAAATCAAGAAATTGCAGAGCTTTAAGGCGGAGAATGTATAAACTACAGCCTTTGGGATAAGGTAAGCAGGGGAAAAAAAAAAGGTGAAACTGCTGAATCAGTAGTTTGCAGAGAAAAATGAATACATATATATATATATATATCAGACTCAGAAGATAGAAACCAAGCAAGGCTGAGGAATGGCCCATTCTGAGGAGCAATGGAGCCAGCGCTCTGCAACCTGGCAAGTGCGTGGCCAGCAGAGACTCAGCAGGTGCCTGCCCCAGGGTGGTGACCATATTAATGCTTCACCTAGTAGCATATTTACTCCGGGTATTAGCCAATAGCTGTGTGCTGTGTACAGTTCTGCTTTCAAGCCTCGGTGCACAGTAAAAGCTGCTCCCAAAAACGTGGCCTCACTGAGAAACCGCTCCTTTCACGCCATAGAGTCAGAGCGATAGAACCAAGAGAGGCTGAGCGAAATATCTACAACAAACCTGAAGAGATAACAAGCAGAGGATGCCAACATGTGTGTGACGAGCCCTAAAATACAAGTCCTGTGTAGAAGCAGATGGATTAGTTGGCTCTTAGACTTGCAGCCCCACCACCAGCATCATCCTACACCGCATGCAGGCCCTGGAAACAGCTACATGACGGAGTGTTTGACCCATTCCACACTTCAATGGCTTCAGCCCGCTCTTTCTCTGAAACAAACTCAGAGTTGGCTCTTCCTCTTCCAAAGGCAGAAGGTGCTTCCCCCCATCTCGAATTCCAGTCTGGACTCCTGAATATAAGATAACATGGGATCATAGGGTAATTCTGGATGGAAGGGATTTCAAGGACCTCTTTATACAACCTCACGCTCGCAGCAGGATCAGCTGTAAAATCAGACCAGGCTGTTTAGGTTTTGGTGAAAAAGATTTTCTTTATATGCAGTCTGGCCTCTTATGTCTGTTGTCTCACATCCTCCCACCATACACGTTGGAATGATGAAGTTCAAGAAGTGGAGGTTAGCCAAGTCTTCTTGGTAGATTCATATCTCTCCAAAGCCTTCTCCAAGCTGAACAAGCCTAATTTCCTTTGCTTTCTCCTCATAAACAGAGTACAATCAATATAACTTAGCTTCCAAATATCTCTTGGACAAAGAAGTTTTAGGTGGGGTCATTCAGGCAGTCCCTAGGCAGAGCATTGAAACCTGTTAAATTCCTCAGTCTACTGCACTCTGTGTTCCCTCCCTTTAGAAAAGTGACTCGGAAAGGGAAGAATATCCAAGGAATAATATGTTGGCAACAGTGTAAGAGGTAATCCCCATGGGAATTAATGCAATCGTTACATAATTTCCATAGGAATTAATATGTACTTCGCATACAGTTCCCATAAGCTTGTGCTATCCCTACCCTGTCCAACCAAAGGACAAGACACAGAAGAGCGTATTTCAATACTCAGGATGTAGATCACAAAGTAAATGGGCTCCAGCAGAAGCCATCAAACCAACTGCCTTTTATCAGCCACTTCAGGGCATGGACAAGGACATGAGCTCTCCTGCTTTAAAAAAAAAACAAACAAACACCCAATTCCTTGAATTCCTCTGTACGAAAAGTACATAGCTTCAGGATGTGAGGAACCATGCCCAAAACCTACATTAAGGCTAGAAGAGCTTTTACTGTTCTTGACCAGCCTTCACCTTGATAGACTCTAGAAGCAGCTGCAGTTTTTCAGGCCTGCAAGCTGTTAGTTCAAGACTGTTCAGGAGTTCTTACAGTGTCATTTGTCTTCACCAATTAAGCCTCCTAAATATTTAAACAAATGCTGAGCATGTTGTTGTCAGGAAGAATTGACCCGAGCAGAATGTATGTATGGAGACATATATATATTTTTCTTCCCTGGAAGGCAACCTACTCTGAAACCAGCCTGGTAAAATCAAGCTAGTCAACGAAAACAGGACCAGACTGAGGTGGGGCTTGAATCACTTTTACATATACCTACTGGTTGAAAAACTCCCTCGTTGAATAAAAGTGTTTTTTCTCACTCTTGCCTCAGTGATGCACTTCATGTTTCTTCCTGGTGGGCCTTGCAGAGGAAGAAGTTCAACTCTTACAGACAGAGAACCCAGCAAGAGTCTGCATATATATTTTGAGCTAGAGCTGCAGTGCTGCCACTTTACTTCGGATAATGTGTAACAGCAATAATGCAGGTTAAAGAACTGGAGAAATGAAGCAGAACGCAGGCAATTTCCTTATGCTTTGAGAAAGAGGCACCTCTTTTCATTTCATTGGTGCATGCTGTTAGGAAACTAACGTGGGAGAGTGTGACCTCTAGGTGTTTCCTAAAAAGAAACCACTTGAAGTTGTTAGCCAATGAGGGGACAACCTTGCCCGATGATTTCCCACTCTGCAAAGGACAGTGAAAGGCCTGGTACAAAAAAAGTGCCCTGTAATTCTGCCCACGTATAACAATGAAAGGTCATTCTCCAGGAAGAGATTCATAACTGAATTTATGTCCATCTCTCTCCATGTCATTTAAGGCTACAAGAGCCTGAACAGATTACAGCAAATCAGTTTATGCAGTCTTAGTTGGAACCCGATTTGATCTTTGCTGTCTTCCATGTTTAAATATTGCAGTAAAACATGAGTGTGAGTAATGTGATAAAGCTGCTTTCTTAGGGCTGCTCTCAACTTCATTGCTCTTTCTTGAATTTTAAAATACAATCTTTTTAGCATATGAAAAATCCATTGAAAATATGATAACTAAACAGTGATAGTCCCACTAAAAATGGTCACAGAGCAAACACCAACCTGATATTCTGTCATTAGGGTTTTAAAGATTACACAGCATCATAGCGGAATACCTATTCTGCCACCCAAAAATTTAGACTCCTACCAGGACAAATAACAAATATTAAACTTACAGTCTCTATGTATCATATCAAGTGTGAGACATGGAAACAGCCCATTACTTGTTCATCCTCATGTGGAGTTATGAAGAACTAGAACTTTCTCAGTTCCTATACTCAAAAGTCTCTCTCCTTCAGCACTTGTAGATGTGCCAGAGCCAGTTCCTGGAAAACACATTATCAGAACTTAGCAAACGGTATCGTTCTTGAAAAAACACCAGAGAGACGTCTGTTTTGAGAAGGTGCAGGTAATATAGCGCGACGGGCTCTAGGAAGGCGAAGGCAGTGGTAGTCACGAGGCTAAGCACCCAGGGGAGGAGACCTGGCTCCTTCTGCTGTAAGCGCTAACGCACCTTCCCTTAGCGAGTGCGTGGCAGGACCAAGCGCTGCGTGACACGGAGCACCCGCGTCCCTGCCGGGCAGAGCGGGCGCGAGCCGGGCCCAGCAGCGCGGACCAACCGCGGCACCTGCGCACGCAGCAGCAGGACAGGGAGCAGGCTGGCACCAGCGGGCAGCCCCGCTCCGGGCAGCGCCCGCAAAGCAACGGGAAAGGGAGCGAGTCAGAGCTCCGGTCCAGCTTCGCCCTGGAGCTTTCTGCTGTTTTTGTACCGCTGCAGACTTGCCGGACTGGTTGGGGCTACTGGAAGGATATGAGAACAGCGCGCTCCCGGTGCTGCTCTTATCTCTAGCTGCACTTAGCTTTCACCTGCCTTTAAGAATTGCTTTGGAGCCATTCCCAGCCCCATGTGAGGCTATAGGAGCCCCAGCCTTTTAAGGACACAGGAGCTCGTGCCCTGCAGCCAGCAAGCTGCTAGCCTCTCAGGTGACCTCCTGCTCGCCAAACCTGGTGCACAGTTAGCTCTGCTGCTCGCTTGCCCAGCAGAAGGAGGTCGTGTGGGCTTAGCTTGCATCCAGCTTGCCAACGATGACGACCTTTTGGACACAAAGCAGAGGTCTGGAGATCAGATCCTTCCTGACTGAAGATCAACAGATCGGTTAGCAGGGGCAAAGCTGGAGGGCACGCATGAGCACGAGCCAAGCTTGCCTTGAAGGCATCTCTGTACAGTACTGCAAATGCACTGGAGTTTCCATGTAGTGAGAAATAGCATGTACTAAGGAATGACAGAGAAAAAGTAATTCAGACATAAGGCAGAAGATCATACCGTTGCTGACCGAATCATTTTCCAGTATCCCAACTGGCACGTCACTCACTGTATAGAGGCATCAATATTCCAGTATGCAGCTCAAATCCCAGCTAAAATGACGGTTAAAGAAACACATGAAAAGCTGTACATTTGAGCACTTCATATCTTCATTTAGCCTTTCAAAGCCTAATCCTAACATTTGATGGAAATGCTTCTACAGAAGAACCCCTCTAAAATCCAGCAAATACATACAACTAAGAAAAAGCTTAGTGTCACACAACTCTCTTGACAGAAGTGACAACACAAGTCTCAGAATTCAAATGGAAAAACTTACGAGAGTAAATGAATTAGTCATAAAAATTTACAATTCTAGGTGGGAGGAAGAGACTTGATGTAAATTAAATTGAAGCACTGTCACTGTTGGGTACCTGTTCTTTGATTATTTTATTATCTACTAATAAGAGGCAAACAAACCATAGGGAAATACTTCCTAATCACTGACAGTCTGCCAACTGTTTTACATCAGCTGCAATCTGGACAACTGGTATTCTGCAGCCAAAAAGCATTATCAGATGTCACAGCAACACTCATTCTTCTAGTGTTATCAGGTGTGCAATTTAGATAACGACACATCTACTTCCGAGCCCTGATCTAGCTGGAGAGTGTTGCTCTTCTCTCCCCATACTGCTAAGAGAACAGCTTCTGGATATTTGCTTTCTCAAAGAGGACCAGAAATCTGAGGCTGTTCCTATGAAATACAGAATGGCAGAAAATACTATTTGAAATAAAGTACTCTTTGGAAAGCAAGAAAATTTTAGCTGAGCAGAGAGAGATTAAAATATACATATAGATTACTTAAAGAAATCTTTCTAAATGCTTCTAAAAGTCCACAGACTGGCCTATAAGATGCCAAAAATGGGCAAATTCCTATAAGCACCTACAGCTGTTCCCAGCTGTTTCAGCACTGGAGCTCTCCAGACCTTGAGACAAGTACCAGCTAGTCTCATGGATGAGCTGAGGTTGGAAGGGTTCTCTGCAAATCACCTAGTCTGACCCTATGGCCCAAAACAGAGCAAACACATTGCCTTCATTTGTCTGTTCATTCAGTCCTGATGTCTGTTCCCGAACACTGTGATGTGCAAGTGACCAGGATCTGTATCTGCAACGAAAAGGGATCAGAGTGTGGAGAAACGTCCCCAAATTCCTTCCATCTATAACCAGGTGCAGAAGTTCATGTTGGTTCTGCTTCTGATTTCTCTATGCAATCCTGTCTTAATCCATCATCTTCTGTGGAACTGCGGCCACTCTGGCAGGCTTCCCATTTCTTCAGTGTTTGGGAAAAAGATGATATATATCCAAAAGATACCTTTTGGAATGTTGTTAGTAAATTTTGGAAACCATTTTTCAAATTATTTTTTCTAAAAGCCTCACAGAGCTTTTACACTAAAATTGCCAAACTTTACAAGCCTGCCTATTTTCTTATTGCTTGTACACCTACCAACAGACCACTTAGCCATGGCAGCTGCTGTTTGGCTCCAACATTATACACAAAATTAAAGGTTGAGTTCTCAGCCTGAACCGTCCAACTCCCACCCCCGTTCTTTCCGCACGCCTAATTGTACTGAGTCACTTGGGGACACAGCATTTTCCCATATAATACCTAGCAGATTGTTCAGGGCCACCAGCAACACTTTGCAGAACAAAACAGAACATCTTGGTAGAAAGCAGAAATCATAGAAACAGCCTTTATTTTTCTCTCACAAGACAAAGGAAAAAAGGCCACAGGCTGCTTTGGTTCGATCTTTTCCTCATCAAATCTCTGAACATTGACTCTCCAGGGGAAAAAAAAAAAAAAAGGAAACGACAACAACAAGAAACCACTACACATATGCAAAAAGGCACTTTTTAGAATAAGCAGTGGTAAATCAGGCCAGATATTCATTGCAGTGGGTCCCAAACACTTCTGTGATCAGGTCAAGGTATTGCCACAGTGAAGTTTCCTGTTACGATCCCTGACGGTTACTGTCCCGTCCCTGGTAGGGGGTCCTGGCTTGCCAGGATTTCTGTTGTTTAGCCAGCATGAGTTGCAAAGCAGAAGGAATTGTCAATAGGCCACAGCATGGCCCGCTGACTACACGACAGGTCCAGGTTGACTGTTTTGAGGTTGCTTCTAAAGAAAGCAGTCAAAGAAACAGCGTAGCAGCAGTACACGAGACTGTGAACACAATCTCTATTTTTACCACTCAGTGTGGTGAAGTACACTTAGATTATCAGGAGATTTGCTGCTTCCTCATAAAGTCTTGGTTCTTAAAGGCGCTCAGGGTTGTAAGAGCTGCAGATGTTCAAGATCCTCAGTATCTCCAGGATGCAGCACAAACGGGGCACTACTTCAGTGCACGTTTGTGGTGCAGCGTTTTGGGGGGGTTCCCGGAGCCTTCCCCAGCCCAAAGCAGCTGCTTGCGCACCACGTGCATGCCCTACACAGCTTACAGGTGGCTAACTTTCCATCAAAGCAGCATTAGTCTTCGATCAACACCAGATAACTCAATTCCCCCAAAAATCTAAAATGTGCCATCCTTCCTAAGCACCCACAGCCCTGTCCCCTAGGGAACAGGAAGCTGTTTTCTGAAAGGGACAGGCAATCCAGCGTTCTCATTTTTGCCATCTAAAAGGCAAATAAACCTGAGACATGCAGAGTGATTCTTTCCTTGCATGCACAGGTGTTACTTTTTTGTCCATTTTCTTGGCTAAGCTGAGCAAAGTTCACACTGCCTATATTTGAGAGAAGCAGAACAGAGAGGGAAACAAGCCTGAGAAAACTGCAGTCCTGGAAATCATCTGAGTAGCACTTGGAGGACTTGCAGGAAGCACCATTGAAAAAGCTCCCGTTTCAGGATCAGGTGACATTGGAGATCTGACCAGTGCCTGGTCATCAAAGTCGCCATCGGATCATTCGACCGCTGTTCCTAGGGGTACCAAGATTCACATGCTGAAGGCAGAGAAGGATTTACAGGGAGGTTATCATCTCCGCGTAGTGTTGGAGAGGGGATGGCTGATGCCCTCATCTGTGTCAACCCCATTAAAGTGCCAAGCTCATGTGCATCAGCAATCCCCCTTAGATTGGGGTGGGTACAGATGTGCCAGCACGGATGGTCTCTGCCTTACTCTAGTTTCTCACTGCTCTTTCTTTGTCAATCTCAAACAAAAACTTGCAGAGCATCAATATGTCCCTTCAGGCACCAAGGGAAGGGACAGAGTTTCTCCCATGGTTTGTCCAGCGAACTCGCCTCTGTGGTGAGAACCCCCAAAGGCACAAGAGGACTGTAAGAGAGATGAGTTAAATTACTCCATCACAGTTCAGGAATACAGTTGAGGAAAAAGAATAAAGCTCAGTGTAAATGACAGTTCAGCTCTTCCCACGTTGAGTGCAATTTAAGGTGTGACTTGGATGAGCTCTCCTGCTCCTTGCACGCTGACAATTGCTCACCTCTACAAAATAAAACACTGCTGCCCATTGGCTCCTGCAAATTGATGAGCAGGCCAAATCCTCAAGTTCTCATACACTCCAAATTTCCAAGCAGGCCTTTGCATCTACAGCACTAAGCAGAGGCTCCGTCATCCTGGATCCTGTTGAAACAGCACAAGGAAAACACTTTTCAGAAGGGAAGGGCAATAAAGAGTCGTCTTAGTCAACTCCCCTCTCATTTTCTTAATCTTCCCCATCACTTTTCTTAGGCCATCTTTTCTAGCACACTTTTAACACCATCTTTAGCTCCTGTTCTCTTCCACCCTTTCACTGCCTTGAGGACTGCGCTTGAGAAGTCCTGAGAGTTGACAGTGACAAAGGCTGAGACGAGCATTTCTGGAAAGGCTCCTTCCAGGTTTACAGCCACAGAAAGGGACTGACAGAGGCTGACAAGTGAGCCAGGCCTCACTACCCTCTCGAGACCTCTGTCTGACCAGGAAGAGCAGCAGGAAGATCCTGCCCAGAAACAAAGTGTTGCTGCCAGGCAGTTGAAGTCAAGACGAAGAGTAGCAGACATGTTGCTCGAATCTGTGGGCTCCACCTCTGCCCCATGCAAATGTCTCTCATTCTTCACCAGGTTCATTTAATGGAACAGCTGGAGGGTTGGGACTCCCAGGTGACGTCCCTTGAGTCACTGCCGCCCAGCATCCTTCTTCATGATGTCATACGTGGCAGGGCAGAAATGAGAATGCAGCTGAGCCAGCAAAGCCTTGGATGTGATCTCTAGCCTTGTCCCCTGGCTTTTCTTGTTCCACACGTGCACTGCATAGGTGTTCTTGAAGAGCTGGTGAAGCTCTGAAGAGCTGACTACTTCAAAGTACTTCTTCCAGTCCTGCCACCGGATGGGATAAAAAGCTTCCCGGGGAAGAGCACTCACCCCTTTGCAGCTCCTGCTGCTCCTAAGACTCCTAATGGAGCACCACTTCTTGAAGACACGTGTTAGGAGTTGGGGGCCCTGATGCCCCCAGATCCAGCTGTTGTAGTTCTCCACAAAGTCCTGCATGCAGAGCTCCATGAACTTGTGCTTGGGCTTGAAGGACAAGAAGGCCCCGTTCAGCACGTACTTGGACTGGGTACCGAGCACGTTTGTGAGGTTCTTTAAGTTCTTAAGCACAATGAAGTCCGTGTCCAGGTAGATGCCACCAAATTTCCACATGATGGCAATTCTGCAGGCGTCTGACAAGATGGGCAAGAAATAAGGCTCCCAGCGCTGCTGAGCCTGCAGGTACCACTCTGCCAGAGGCGTCCCAGAGAAAAGCTCCTGCAAATCCAGGGGCCGAATTTCCACGTTGGGGAAGCAGCTGAGTAACGAGAAACCCCAGTGGTTGGGCAGCGAGGCGTTGCTCTTGGCCAAGCCTTTCATGAGCACCACAACCCTCGTGCCAGGGTGGGTCCGGGCCGCCGACTCCACGGAGCACAGGAAGAGGTAATTCGGGTTGGTGCGCTCTGAGGTCTCCACAAAAAACACGTCCCCCGGCGGAGGAGGGGGCCCCTCAGCAGCGGCACGGGGAGGAGACGGCACCGAGCGAGCACAGTGGATCTCAATAGGTGAGACATAGAGCTGGCCCCTGACCTTCGGGTCCTCCGTGGCTCTCCAGTACAGCAGGATGGAGGCGAAGGACAAGAACTTGAAGACGATGATGAACAGGGCCCCCAGCCTGTGGTTCAGCATCACCCGGGTCAGTTTTAGCAGACAGCCGGGCATCCTGCGCATCCTCGCTCCTCGCTCTCCCAAGACAAGCGTTGTGATCTGAAGGAGAGGAAAGAAGAAGGAGACATTTAGAGGCAAGGCCACACACCACTGAGCCGCACGCTGCACACTCCTCACTTCCCCCATCCCAGCACGCTTCGATCACCCCCTTGGGGCATTTCTCCTGGCTGCTCCGTCTTGTCACGAGGCCTGCAGCCAGGGTCAGAGCGCTCCCTTTGAACACAAGAAATAACCTCTGCTGCTTGTCACAAAACAAGAGGGACCCTCTCGATTCCCTGCCTGCACCTGCCTGTGCCACATGGAATCAAATTTGTTCTATTTTACCATCATCGGGTTGGTATTCTCAAATCAGGCAAGTACAAGAATAATCCCAGAGACAACAAATTTGGATCCTTCTTTGTCCTCTAGCTTGCTGCCACACAAGCTGGCCTGGAGCAGCAGCTTCTACGAGGTTCGCGTCCCCAAGAGGAGAACCACCTCCCTCGCCAGAAGCGAGTACTCAGCTAAAACACCGGTGGCTGCCACCTCGTCCTGTCGAGAGGCCTTAACTCCTGGAATCACAGAACCGTATTTACTCGCCTTCCACTTACTCCTCGATAACTAACCTGCATCCCATGCTTTCCTACAAAGCTCCACAACAACACGATCCTGTTCACCATGCTGCTTCACACCCCACCTCTGTTCTTGCCAGGGCTCTTCATTTTTCATTTAGGCCTCTAGGCTTAAAACGCGGAACACTTTCCTCCACGGAGAAAGCCCGTTTTTCCTTCGTTCCTTCCCTGCTTAAAACTGCGAGGGGCTCCAACATGATGGCGCTCGGTCCTGCAGCACCCGTTCCACCTGCCGACCCATCCTCCTCGGGCCGCTCTCGGCACAGGGGGACGCCTGCAAACCCTCCCGCCGGGTGGCCAGGCCAGCACTCAGGGAGCTATTCCTGCTTTTACAAGCCGAGTTGGAGCGTTCTGGCCAGCCACCAAGCTTAGGTCCCTCAAGTCAAAAGTGTAGATTTACCTTAAAGAGATATGTTGCAGCAGATGGGAGAGCAGAGCTGAATTTAGCTCCCAGAAAGCCCAACTGCTCTATAACGGCCCGAAATAGGGTGCGTCAGGCTCCGGCAATGTCTGGCTGAAGGGAGCTGTGATTCATGCAGCAGCACCTTCCTCCGAGCCTGGACGCTCTACGTGGTGCCAAATTTTTAATAATGAAAACCAGGAGAGGCTCGCAAAGAATACACTCTAAAGAAATAAGAGAATTGGCGTGGCATTATCAGAGCAATGCAAAGCATTTTCAGGCCCTCTTTGCCTTCACCCCTATTTCCCCTGTGGTTAAACTTCGCAGAATTTAAAAGAAAACAAAATCAATATAAACCAATGGTAAAATTAGAAGAGTTTTATGAGACAAGCTAAAAACATACTGCAGCAGCGAGCTCCAGGCCAGCTTAATAGCAGAGCAGAATTTTCCATTTTAGATTAACCATATTTCAGTGGGGAAAACAAAACAACACAAAACAACCTCTTTTGAGGTTCATCTCTCAGTTCTGCCTCCCTCTGAACCAAAGCCCGCAATCCTACGACTTTGCAACGCGCCTGCAGAGCTCTGCCCGTAGGAAAGGACACGCTGTGCACTTGGCACCCACGGAAACATTTGCAGCCTGCACAACTTTATTGCCAGCTCCCATCCACTTTTCATTACTGATTTAGGTATTGAAGAGGAACAAAAAAAGACGAATACACTCTTCTGAAAAGCCCCATCCTCCCTTCCCCTTCCTCATCTCAGCTTATTTACGAGATGTTACGTGCAGTCCCACCCATTTCCTTGGGTGAGCTGATGAGCCCACGAGGTCAGGGACATTGAGTGACTGCTTCTTTGTGCTGTTTCTTTCTTGCTCCGGAGTCCTTCCTCGCAGTGGTCTTTGCCTCCTACTGCACCTTTGCTCCAACATGGGCTTCTCCACAGGCTGTGGGATCTTCAGGACTGTATCTGCTCCACCATGGTCTCTCCATGGGCTGCAATCCCACAGGGTGTCCCTGCTCCAGCCAGGTCACAGTCCTCAGAAGATGTCCCCAGCCCGGCGTGCGTGGCCTCATCCCACACAGGGCAAACCCCGCTACTGAAACCCTGTCATTTATGCCCCAAACAACACACCTTGTAAAGTTCAGATACAGAGCAGTCCCTGGCTTGCTTATTTTTGTATCTGCGCAGGAGAAGTATGCTGATAAAACACCTGAGACTATCAGCTGTTGGACAGCCCTTCACTACCTGGGCCAACCAGAAAAGCCATATTTCAAAACGAGTTAGGTGGCCGAGCTGACTGATCCCTTGAGATACTCTTTACCCACGTACTGTGTGTTTCTCCTCATGATAACATCTGCTTCCAGATGCTCGCTGTGCAATGGAAATTCTTTAAACAAATAGAGAAAATAAGCGATTCTTTGTCATTTGCATACTTGCAATGCAAAGGGCTCTCTGACGGTTTATTGATGGCTTCACTTTGCAGAAAACTCATTTAATAATTTGCTCCAGCCTGTCATCACAACGCTCTGAATATACCCTTAGCACATGCCAGATCCATATCTGACCCTCTGGCAGGCAAGCAGGGGAGTGAGGGCACCTTCCAGCACTGCCACCCCATGTGTACACCCTTCTCGGGAGAGCAAGGCTCCGTAGAATTTTCCACCAAAACAGGAATTAGTTCAGGAATCTAACACTGCAAATTCACGCTACAAAGTAAAAGCAGACTTTTGTCCTAGTTGAGCCTCTAGGGAACAGCTCAACAGCAACATAAATCTTCGGACATCTGGACCATTTAGGTACTGAGGAAAGAACACTGTTTCTCCCCAAACTCCTCTCCCTTAGGAGCAGACTTCGTGTGCTGCTGCCACTACCTCCTTTTCCAGCCTCTTCATCAAGGATGGGTGAAGCAGCGAGCTGCTTGCCGAACGAGGCGCGGAGAAAGCTCTTCCTTGGAAAACCATGACAAGTTTTCAGGGGGACATACCTCTACCTTTACCTCGAAAAGCAGCGGGAAGCAGAAGTCCCAAGAACAGAGCCTTGCAACCTCGAAGCCGTATCAAAGGAGAACTGCCTAGGCAGGCCCTTAAGACATGTTCCAGGCCCCTAAATGCACCAAGCTTGAATCTGGAGCTGGGGAAATTTAGAGTAACCGTTGGGTTTGATTCGCTGCTTGGTTCTTCTGCACTGCACTGTCCTTCCAGCTTTTATTTCTCTGCTGTTTAAAATTTAGCACATTTGCCAAGAACAGACAATTTTGTAAACTTTATGCTGCTGAGAGTTGTAGTCAAGATCTGGCCTCGAGAAATACATGGAGATAGGGCAGCCCACAGCGCAAAGGCCTCCTGCGTGCAGCTGTGCGGGATAGCTCCGGACTCTGGGAAGCAGACGCATGAGAAGCCATTCACACAATCACAGCCTAACAGGAAAACGTGCTCACTTTGAAGAGGAGACGCCGCACTATGTGGCTAACATATTTTAAATGCCCATGCTTTCTGGACAAACTAAATCTAAGCTTAAGTTTCTCGTCTATTAAGGCTTCCCTAACTGCACATGCAGGCAGCAGGAGGTGATCAGTGCATTCAATTTCATTTACTTCTGCATGCCTCGAGTACGCTCGCTGTACTTAGCTCACATCCCCCCAGCCAATGCATCTCTGGACCATACTGACCTCCGTGAACACATCGCCTTCAGTGCAGTCGCAATCTTGCCTAGAAAATGGGAGTGAGTCACAGGGGGATCTTCCCTACTATTGAATCCGCTTCGTGAATATACTTAAAGCTATTCATTCTGCACACAGCGGTCACATAGAGAATTTAGCTGCTAGATGAATAAGAGAAATTCTTGATGCTGAAATTGTGACTGGTCTGGTGGACAAACACGAATGCAGGGTTGAAGTGGAGCCAGCTGTTGCTGACTTTTTCCTTCCCTAAAGTCCTTCAGGGTTCTTCCCCTCTCCTCGTGTGAGCAGTCGCCAAAGTGCAGGACATGGGAGGTGGGACATGGAAAGTGGGGAGGAAGGTCCCTCGGATGGATATGTTCTTTGTATGTATGTCCCCAAAAGCCTTCAATGCTCAGGGAGATGCCTGGCCTACCCAAAAGGCCCTAGGGAGATTTTTTTTTTCTTACCTTTAGGACAAGTTGATGTTTGTCTTGCTTACTGAACTGGGAGAGCCTGTGTGTCCTAACAAGGATCTCCAGTGGTCTTGGGTAAGTCTTAGGAAGCTTCCTATATATGAGCAAAGCTCTAAAGCCTGGTATCTTTCTGAGATTCCCACCCCTATAGATAAACCCAGTGTTTGGATTTACTAGCATGTGGTAACAACGCATGCAACAGCAGAACACAGTAAATACAGCACATTCCCGTTTCCAAGTTTTGCAAAACCGCGCAGCTCTCTGAGCTGCAGGGCATAAGAGGCCAAACACCAGTGAGGACGCGTCGGTCTCCTGCACCTCCGCTGGGGTATCGCCCTGAGACGCCTTCCCTGCGCCACATGAAGGTCCCTGGGGCGCCAGGGGAGGGTTTCAAACTCACAGGAGCCCCGAGCCACGTGGCACACGGAAACGTGGAGCGTCACCACGTGGCACCGAGCGGCTGTGTGGGGAGGGATGACCACGGCGAGGCCCCAGCGACCGTGTGTCATCAGAACCACAGCTCTCCCTCCCCAAAAAGAGTGTCTGAGTGAGTGTCTCATTCAGCCCTTTGTCAGGAAAAGTTTCCTAGTGCCTTTTTTTTTTTTTTCAGTGCTTCGTATTTGTGTCATCTTTAACTGGAAGGAGTTGTTTTGATATCTGGTAGCTTTGGGCTTTCAGGAAACAGCCCTCACAAACCTTTGCCAGCCATTGAATAAAAGGTGATAGAGAATTTGGCTGCAGAAAGCCGCTGGAAAATACACACAGACAAAAGGGACAGATGCTAGCAGCAGACCTGCCAGCAAACTGATACAGCTTGTTGCCACCAACAGCTTTCAATTCAGTTTCATATTACTGCA